TTATCAACAGACAAGAAAGAAGATGAAAATATTAAAGTGTTTTTGAATGCATGGACTCGTCCACAGACTGTGTCTATAAGAAGAGAGGATCAAACCATGGTCATTGGCTTAAGTTCTTCAAATATGATGCTAATTCTTAAATGATCAGCATAAATCATAGACATGACAGTAAATAAATCATAATGCGATATTGTACATGATTTATTGTTAAAGATGATTTTATACAAGGCATTTTCACAATACAAAATTATGTTACTTAATTCTAATTGCTATTAATTGTTGAAATACATGATTTTTCATTTGCTTTTGATTATTACAACAAATAAACTTTGAATTCAGAAATATATATAAAATAGCTCTGTATTCCATTGGTATACCAATATAAGTAATAATTCAATTCAATTCTTTATTAAGATGATTCAGGCCACCAGCCCATACATCACAATAAACATAAAACATAATTACATATTATAATACATAATCACAAAAAAAGTGAAAATTTACAGTAATTAACATAACAAGCAAGACTCGTAAATCACAATAAACACAAAACATATTTACATATTATAACACAAAATCACAAATACGATGAAAATCTACAGTAATCAACATATTTACATCTATAAACAAGTATATAAGTAGTTTTATAAAAACGAAAATATAAACAGTGACTATTTAATAACATAATTTAAAATGCAGAGTAACATACCATATAATGAATATCATAACAGCTTCAACTTTTTTCTTCATTTAGTTAATTGAGAAAAACAATGCATTTTACGATATAATTTTTTGAAAATGATGTTAAAGTTAATACAAATATTGCATATTTTGCCATTTTCGTTGTAAATTAACATAACTGGAAAATGTAATGTATGAAAGATTTAGTCCGCAATTCTTGACTAATACATATCACCATCCTCTATGTATATCAGCTTTATTTTGTTATTCTGATTTGAGGTCACTAAAGACAGGTTAGACCGTAGCTGTGTTATTTCTTAAAAAGAATTACAGATAAAACAAGAACGTGTTTGTTAAACACAAATGCCCCCGGCTCAGATTCTTGTCAGTAGCAATATTTCAAAAAATGTTTACCCATTCACTCAGTTATGGACAGAAAAATTGCCAAAAATTGTAAACACAAGTTATATAGCTTGACAAAGTCATGGCATTTTGTAATTGTGAAAAATATAAGTTCCCAAGTCATTGCTCTGATTTGTGAAGTTGAAAAATATTCAACTTCATGCAAGTTATCTTCCTACCAAATATAAAATACATCTGTCATTAAATTAAGGCTGTATGGGCAAAAGTGTAAAAATCTATTTTGAGCACTGGTGACCTTAACCAAACTGACCCCTAACTCTATCCAAAAGAAGAATACCATGTAAGTTATCTTCCTACTAAATATGAAATACATCTGTCAATAAATAAAGGCTGTATGGGCAAAAGTGTAAAAATCTATTTTTAGCACTGGTGACCTTAACCAAACTGACCCCTAACTCTATCCAAAAGAATACCATGTAAGTTATCTTCCTACCAAATACGAAATACATCTGTCAATAAATAAAGGCTGTATGGGCAAAAGTGTAAAAATCTATTTTTAGCACTGGTGACCTTGACCCAACTGACCCCTTACTCCATCCAAAGAAAGAATACCATGCAAGTTATCTTCCTACCAAATATGAAATACATCTGTCAATAAATAAAAGCTGTATAGGCAAAAGTGTAAAAATCTATTTTTAGCACAAGTGACCATGACCCACTGATCCCTACCCCAATCAAAAGGATGAATACCATGCAAGTTATCTTCCTACCAAATATAAAATATATCTGTCACTTAATATAGGCTGTATGAGCAAATGTGTAAAAATCTATTTTTAGCACTGGTGACCTTGACCCAACTGACCACTAACTTCATCAAAGTTGATGTTTCTATCAATTATAAATAACATCTGTCTATAGAATAAGGTCAATACACCTGTAAAAATCTATTTTTAACATTGGTGACCTTGACATCGGTAACATTGACCTTGACCCAAATGACCCCTTACTACACCCAAAGAAGAAGGACCACCCTTGGCATGTTTGTATTAAACATGAAAGACATCACATAAAATATAAAGGCTGTATGAGCAAAAATGTTTATATTTATTTTTTAAACCAGTGACCTTGACCTTGACCCTAGAGACCGCTTACTCCACAAAAAATTAGAGGACCATCAAAGGTATCCACCTACTACATATGAAAGATATCATTAAAGAAATTAAGCAATTAGGAGAAATTTAAGATAAATCCAACTTGCTGAAATAAGTTAACCAGACAAGGCCCTATTTTCAAAGTGAACAAGAGCTGTCGGTAGGACAGCAACGCTCGACTATTCTTAGTGCTTGATAGTAAAAAAAAATGCTTGATACAGTTACCTCCTCCTGTTTACAGGTTGGGGTAATGATGGTGAACAAGTGTGCAAAGTTTCAAAGCCATATGTCAATGAACTTTGAAAATATTTGAGGTATTACAAAAACTTTAACATAAATTCTAAGTCGAAAAAGGGGCATAATTCTGTCAAAATGCTTGATAGAGTTACCTCCTCCTGTCTACAGGTTGGGGTCATGATGGTGAACAAGTGTGCAAAGTTTCAAAGCCATATGTCAATGGACTTTGAAAATATTTGAGGTATTACAAAAACTTTAACGTAAATTCTAAGTTGAAAAAGGGGCATAATTCTGTCAAAATGCTTGATAGAGTTACTTCCTCCTGTTTACAGGTTGGGGTCATGATGGTTAACAAGTGTGCAAAGTTTCAAAGCCATATGTCAATGGACTTTGAAAATATTTGAACTATTACAAAAACTTTAACATAAGTGGTTACGCCGACGCGGACGCCGGCGCTCGGATGACTGCAATAGCTCTACTTATTCTTATCGAATAGTCGAGCTAAAAAAGGGAAATAACTGGGAAATATGGATGACACAGTTATATAACTTAACAATATCATGTACATAGTATTGATAAGTAAGTGTGGAAATTATAAAGCCATTAGTATAGATAGAACTTAAGATATTTCCAACTTGCCGTTTTAGGTTAACCATTATTCATTTTCTAAGTGCTGAAAAGGGCAATAACTTGGTGAATATGAAAGCTAGAGTTATGTAACTTGCCCAGATCATGTACTTTATATTGATTAGAAAGTGTGTAAACTTAGAAGCCATTGGTACAGGTAGAACTTAAGAAAAATCCAACTTGCTGTTCTAGGTTAACCTCGTACGGACAGACGGACTGACGGATGGACAGTTCAATCACTATATGCCTGGCGGCATAACAAAAACTGTTGGTAGGACAGTATCCTCAACAATTCTTAGTGTTTAATTATAAAACAAAGAGTATGGAAAATATAGGCCATAATTATGTCAAAATCCATGTTGTGGTTGAGATACAAAACTTTAACTCAAGTCAACACAAACATGCTGTAAATGTACAGTGGAGCAGGTTGGCCTACTATTCTTCGAACCACAGTAACTTTACCTGAAACCACATCCACTGATAGAAATTTATGGAAGGTACTCAACAGACTAATTATAAAATCTTACACCAGATTAGATGAAGGTGCAATGTCAACTGGTATATTTGATCAGCACTGGTGCCGTATGAAGAAATATATCTGTGACCACTCCCCTTAGTGCACAAACACCTTATTGATATAGCATTAACACTATCTTCAATTCCTGACAATAAAGATCATAATAATTTCACTACCCAAGAATTGTCTTTCTTTTTAAACAAGTTTGGATGTAACTATATTTTGGTTACACTGAGTAACCAGGGCCTGCATCACTGGATAGAATCTACTTTGTTTTACATACATACATATCCATCAATCTTAAGAAAAATAAATTAAGTCTAAGAGCACCAGATAAGCCATATTTAAAATGCAAAATAATATAGTCACTAGTTTTTTTCTACTGTAAAGAAATAATGCCAATATGAAATTTGCTTGTTTGTTACTTGGAATTTAAATTGTAACCGCACTGTCAAGGTCATACAGGGACTTTCAAGCTTTACGGTTGAAGAAGACCTCACTCAGGTGCTCCTTCGTGTATTATTTCAGGCACAAGCTGGCACACGGGTAAAAACACTGATGTTCTGTAGGCTAACTTGACAGTTTCCTCACATGAAAGTATTCAAAGTGGGACTTGAACCTACAGAAGTGAGGGGCAAGTGGTTTGTTTGAAGTCAATGACCTTAAAGTCAATATGAAAACTCATGAAAGTCATGGCTACTAAAATTGAACCTGAACTAATCAGGATTGCGAGAACTGACCAGTCATATCATTCTATTTGTTCTGTAAACCTGGCAGGAATGGCATGAATTTATTTTTAAATATGGCAGCGATCTTGCAAGGAATAATTAAGAAAATGTAATTTTACAAAATTCACAAATGACAAAATGTAGGCTTCCATGTTACACTAATTGTATTAAAAAGATCAGACAAAATAACAAGGGTTCTAGCTTAGGACCAAGATAGGAGAATTTCAAGTGCCAGGATTTGGATCTTATCCCCTGACAAACTTAGAGATCATTATGGTCATCAAGATAATCATAAAAAAATACAGCAATACCAGCTAAATATTTGAAATTTACTGATTTCTTTGGTAAATAAGAAATACATTTTTTTCTTCTTACAATAGTCATCATATACATATAGCCAACTCATGTTGAACATTTTGATGCTAGGCATAAAAAGCTTAGCAAAATTATATAAAGCAAACAAGACACAAAAATTCACGAGGGGAGTCAACCTACAATAATAGCCACTTGAAATACATCCCATTTCATAGAAGATAGATTTTGTGCAATGTTAAACCCAACCAGAATAAAAAAAAGATAGATAACTCCCCCTTAATAAACTGTCACACAATTAAACAGTTTTCTCCCTTGATAACAACTGAAAAAAATGACCTAGTTTGCCGACTTCCTGATCAATACTTTTACTTATTTCATGTTTAAACAGGTGTATTTACGGATAAAGACATTGCAACTTGATACACCAGAGGTGGTTTTAATAACATATCCTTTTTTATCTGAGGTCAGAATGCATAAAAACTTAACATCGGTTATACTTCCAAAATAAGCAAAAAGAAAGTTAACCAATACAAAGTAAGGAAATATTTTAACAATGAATGAAGAAGAATTCTGTGCATCTGAGGATTCAGTAGTGATAAACTGTGACCCATGCAAGTTTGAGGATAAACTCCAAGAATCTAGTGCATTTTGTCATGACTGTAATGAATTTCTATGTCAACAATGTCTTCAGTTTCACAGAAAATTTCAAGCATTTCGAGAACATCACATTCTTCGTGGAGATTTAATGCCAAGGACCAGAGAGGTAACAAAACCAAAACCAGTGCTGAAACTTTGTGATAATCATCGTATGAAAGAAGTCCAGTTTTACTGCAGAAACCACAGGTCTGTGTTTTGCAATTTATGTAAAGTTGCCAAACACCCAAATTGTGAGTGTGACCTAATAAATGAACTGGTATCAGTTAGTGAGGACAGAACTAAGTTTGACAATGTTTCAAGGAAAATAAAAGGAATTAAAACTGAATTTGAAACACTAAGGGCAGAGCAAATAGTAGTTATTGATGTAATAGCAGCTAGTTCAAGTACTCAGAGAAACAAACTTAAATCTCTGAGGCAGAAAATGGGTGAATTCTTTGACAAACTGGAACATGAACTGGAAGAAGAACAAATCCAGGAAAAGATATTCATAAATAATTTGAGAGAAAGTGTTGCTATTTATTCTGATGTCATCAATGATTTGGACTCACTCAGTATCCAAACAGATCATGTTTCAAAATCACATGATCATGTGGCTATCTTTGCAGCAACATGCAAGTTAGAAAAAACATTGGAAGATTCTGCGACAGTGAAGGACAGAATAGCCATCAAAGGAATGAAAATGCAGGCAAATAAAGCTGGACATAAGTTACTATTACTAGAAAGCATGTGTGACAAAATTATTAAAGAAATAAATGCAAGCACTTCTCCCAAGACTGGTGAGGATTCAGTTGGAAATGCAAAATATCAGGCATGCAAACAGCAACACACCAACACTGGAGAAAAAATCACAAAAGAAATAAAGGAAGAAGTTAAACAAACAAAAACAATTATTACAAACAGTAAGTCAGAAGATCTGCCACAGAAAAAAACAAATAATTTGAAAGATGAAATTCCAAAACAGGGTTTGGAAAAATCTGTTCCAGCAAAGCAACAAAATCATCCTGATGCAATAGAGATATTTAAAAAATCAAAACAACAAAATCATCAAAATGAGTTAAATCAAGAATGTGTAAAGAAAGAACATCATCTGTCTGGAGATGTGAAGGCAATGAAAATAACAACAGTTATTCCTGGAAAACAGGACCTGATATTTGAAAATCTGAAATTTAAGAACTTCTCATATAAATACATAAACCCGGAAGGAAGTCAATATCTATGTGACATAACTGGTTCCATTTTTCTCCCAGATGGTTCCCTTATTTTGTGTGACCATGGAAACTCAACTGTTTTGCTATATGACAAGGACTTTAACATGATAGATAAATGTAAAGTTAAAGTCAAGGTCTGGGATGTGGCACTTACAAATATAGATGAAATCATTGTAACTTTGAATTGTCTAAAGATGCTTGTATACATTAAAATTAAATCAGGGAAATTACAGCAACAAAAAAACAAAGTCAGTCTAAAAAAAGAACCTTTGGGTATAGCTGCATACAAAGATAATATTTTAATAACATACCATAATAACCCAGGAAATGGTGCTATAGAGATTCGGCACAAAAGTGGGAAAGTTTTACGTGACATCACTGCTGATGACAAAGGTGAAGAGCTCTTTGATGCCCCTTTCTACATTGATGTGAACCAATGTAATGGTGATATTTATGTAACTGATAGCAGAAGAAACAGAGTGACATGTTTATCATTTGAAGGGAAAGTTTTGTACAAAATAGAAAGCCCTGAATTCAGATGGCCGAGGAAAATTATCCACGATGATCAGGGAAACTTTTTATTGTGTGCAAGTTTAGCAAATAAATTACTTCTGGTGAAAAAGGGTCTATCAACATCTGATGTTTTACCAGCAGAGATGAAGGCCATTGACACTAGTAAAGTGTTTCTGGCAGCATGTACTCGTCCCCAGACTGTGTCCATAAGAAGGGAGGATCAAACAATGATTATTGGCATAAACTGTTCAAATATGATGTTAGTACTTAAACCATCTGAATAAGTTGGAAACATAATCTTGTAATGCATATGAGCACATTAGGTTACCTATGATAGAAAAAGCTCGTAACTTAAGGCCAAAATTTGTTGACCTCTCTGATGAAGATAAACTTGTATTTATTCATTCCAACAATGATATTCTTAAAGTCACAGCCAAAACCTGTTACAATATTCTTCAACTGCGCTATAATACTTTGTACAAGTAAGGATTTTCAGACCACTTAGTGTTTTAGTTTTTTTTTAAATTGATTTTAATATACAGTCAAACTTCGTTCGCTCGAACTCAGAGGGCCTGTGCAAATTTGTTCGAGAGATCGGTAGTTCGAGACAACCGAGGTTGAACTATTATAACGTTGATCATATGCCTAAAGGTTTTCCTAGCTTACATCGGTCGAATGATAAATGTGTCAATATAATTGTTTGTTAGTTCATCTGTTCGTCGAATATTTCATATTCATAATTACATGCCAGTGTTTTAATTAGTATTAACGGTACACTGTGTTGATCTATATTCATGCATATTGTAATCGGTTGAGTTTGATTGAGCAATCACACCAAATTTGTTGAACAATGTTCAAAATATATTTATGGTATATGTTTTTAATGGGATGAATTTAATTTTTTTTAAATAAATTAATAAAATATTTATTAAAAACATTTACAGCAGCATGTATTTGTAGTCATTTACTAAAATAAACACACATATAAGTATCATTCTATAAATAGATAACACTGTTACGATTCACTTAACATGAACCACGGTTGTAATCAAAGCCATCCAGGTAAACGTCATTCTTTATTGGCATGCATATTTCACAAGTTATTTTTTTTTTTATCGTTACCATAAACGGCAAATCAACAATATTATCATAACAAACAAATCGGTTACAACACCTCTTATTTAGTATCAATTAACCTTAATTACCTTTGTCACGATCACAAGATGTTAAAAACTAGTGTTGCCAAATCTCATTTATTTAGGACATACCGACTTGTCTTTTTGTGTTCGACCGAAAAGGTGTGATTTTCACTATATTTCTGCCGAAGGGACAAGAGATCAGGTTCGACAGTTCGAGCGATTGGTGTTCGAGCGATCAGAGGTAGAACAATATATATTATATAGGAATTTTCCCAGAACTGTGCAATGAGTTCGAGCAAAGGGAGGTATTCCAGCGATCCGAGTTCCAGCGAACGTAGTTTAACTGTAGTCTTTAAACAGTTTTTAGATGATCTGGTGCTTATAGTACGCGATAGTAAATTTTATTGTACAAATGCATCATATCTGTTTTAAAGTTGTTTTATCTTATAACGTATAGAATATCACTCCTGACCAGTCATCCATAGTCTGACCATGGGTGATATATTTAATTAATTTGCGTAACAGTGCCACATTTATTATCAAGATCTATTATCAAAATATCTTATGGCATTTCTTTTTTTAAATTGACGGTCAGTGGGGGTAGTCTAACTTTTATGATATAAAATGTTCTTATATTGTTGAATTATTGTTGTCAGTAGGAAATAAATATTGATTGTATACATATAATGATATTACTAGTATACAGTCTCTTATAATTCTATTGTAGAATGGTCATATGTACATTTTTATCAATTTTAATATGTTTTATGTATATATGTATTTGCATATGAAAGACTGAAATAAACAAATAATAATATAGAAGAATTTATAACATCTTATATACTGTCTAGATTACTTTGAACTGTTTTTGTTTAGTTTTATGTTGCACCAACACTTTAAAGGTCTCATGGTGACTTTCAAGTTGTATGGGAACATAATTTCAGGCATGGAAAAGAGGCAGACATCTTAACCACTAGGTCACTGCTCCTCTAAGATAAAATCTTGTTTTCTTTGAATGAAGTCATGCTGAAATTATTTCTTTCTGAACTAAATTCACATACTATGTTTTAAATGGCCATTTCAATACTAGAAATGTGTTGTCATGCCACGGATGCCCCCGCATGCAGATGTTATTACATTTTGTTCCAAATTTTTTGCACAAACTATTTTTTTCATTTTAAGTTCAAGCCCTTAAAACTATTAAATGTTAACACAAACCATTTCTATACAAAGTTCAAGGCACTGAAACTATTCAGTGTTTACCTTTTGTAAATTGCATATTGCATATTTGTACCCAAAATAATGACTACATACATTTACACAAAAGTATGAGTGCTGAAACTAAAAATTCAAAATTTTTTCAACATTCAAGAGAGATATCTTTGTCCAAAATCATTGAACCATGACCAAATTCAAACATGAACTGCTTATTCATAAGATGTATCTATATGTCAAATTTGAGTTGAATGTGTACAACCATTGGGGAGATAATGAACTGAAACTAGAAATTTCTGACTTTTTTCTCAAAGTTCAAGAGGGATAACTCTGTCAGCTAACATCAAACCATGACCAAATTCGAAATTGACCAATGCATTTTTATGACATATCCATATCTTTAATTTGAGTTGAATATGTACAACTGTTGGGGAGATAATGAATGGGAACTGAAAATTTCCTTTTTTTTCAAAGTTAAAGGGGCATAACTTTGTCAAAAATCATCGAACCATGACTAAATTCAAACTTAACCTGCACATTCCTTTGACATAACCATATGTCAAATTGGAGATGAATGTGTAATACTGTTGGGGAGATAATGGGCGAAAACTGAAAATTTCATATTATTTTCAAAGTGAAAGGGACATAACTCTGTCAAAATCATCAAACCGTGACCAAATTCAAACTTAACCTGCGCATTCCTTTGACGTAACCATATGTCAAATTTGAGTTGAATGTGAAATACTGTTGGGAGATAATGAGCGGAAACTTAAAATTTCATGTAATTTTCAAAGTGAAAGGGGCATAACTCTGCCAAAAATCATTGAACCATGACCAAATTCGAACATGACCTGCGCATTAGTTTGACGTATCCATATGTCAAGTTTGAGTAGAATGTGTAATACCATTGGGGAGATAATGAGCTGAAACTGAAAATTTCATATTATTTTCAAAGTAAAAGGGGCATAACTATGCCAAAATTCATTTAACCATGACCAAATTTAAACTTGACCTGTATTTTGTCATAGCATATCCATATGTCAAATTTGAGTTGAATGTGTGCAACTGTTACTAAGATAATGAACGGAGACTGATGATGACGGAATGACAGAATGATGGAAGGATGGAACAGGGTAACACTATATGCCCAAGCCATTATATGGCGGGGGCATAAAAATAAATTACATATTGTAAATTAAGTCTAAGAGCACCAGATAAGCCATACCGTAAAATTCCTATTAAACGACCCGGGGGCTAAACATTTTCTAAAAGGGGGGCTATTATTACATGTTTTTCCTAAATCCAAAAATCATTGAAAATACATTTAGTGTAACATGGGTTGGTAATAACATTAAAATGTGTTAAGATTTTAAAGTTCATGTGATACATTTTTGGGATTACAATGAAATAAAAAGGATTCTGAAGGATTTGAATAAAATTACGGATTTATTAAAGAGTTCACCACTCATGAGCAGATTTTTTTTCCATATAAAAAAGCCTGGGGGGGAGGGGGCTTTTATTAGGGGAGTGGCATTTATTAGGAATTTTACGGTATTTAAAATGCAAAATAATATAGTCACTAGTTTTCTTGACAATAAGAAATCATGCCAGAACAAAATTTGCTTGTTTGTTTCTTGATATTTAAATTGTAACCACACTGTAATGGCCATACGTTACAAAATTCACAAATGACAAAATGTAGGCAGAAGACTTGAATTCGATCTGATCTTATTGTATTAAAAAGATCAGACAAAATAACAAGAGTTCTAGCTTAGGACCAAGATGGGAGAATTTCAAGTGCCAGGATTTGAATCTTATCCCCTGACAAACTTAGAGATCATTATGGTCATCAAGATAATCATAAAATACAGCAATACCAGCTAAATACTTGGAATTTTTCTTAAGTCTTTGGTAAATAAGAAATACATTTTTTCTTCTTACAATGGTCATCATATACATATAGTCAACTCCTGTTGTACATTTTGATGCCAGACAAAAAAGCATAGCAAATATATAAAGTAAACAAGACACAATTTAAAATTCAAAGTAGTCAACCTACAATAATAGCCACTTGAAATACATCCCGGTTCATAGAAGATAGATTTGGTGCAATGTTAAACCCAACCATAAGATTTTATACAAAATATAAAAAAAAGATAGATTAACTCCCCCTTAATAAACTGTCACACAATTAAACAAGTTTTCTCCCTTGATAACAGCTGAAAAAAAATGACCTAGTTTGCCAACTTCCTGATCAATACTTTTACTTATTTCATGTTTAAACAGGTGTATTTACAAATAAAGACATTGCAACTTGATACACCAGAGGTGGTTTTAATAACATATCCTTTTTTATCCGAGGTGAGAATGCAGGAAAACTTTACATTGGGTTATATTTTCCAAAATAAGCAAAACTAAAGTTAACAAAAACAAAGTAAGGAAATATTTTAACAATGAATGAAGAAGAATTCTGTGCATCTGAGGATTCAATAGTGGTAAACTGTGACCCATGCAAGTTTGAGGATAAACTCCAAGAATCTAGTGCATTTTGTCATGACTGTAATGAATTTCTATGTCAACAATGTCTTCAGTTTCACAGAAAATTTCAAGCATTTCGAGAACACCACATTCTTCGTGGAGATTCAATGCCAAGGACCAGAGAGGTAACAAAACCAAAACTAGTGCTGAAACTTTGTGACAATCATCGTATGAAAGAAGTCCAGTTTTACTGCAGAAACCACAGGTCTGTGTTTTGCAATTTATGTAAAGTTGCCAAACACCCAAATTGTGAGTGTGACCTTATAAATGAACTGATATTAGACAGTGAGGATAGAAGTAAGTTTGACAATGTTTCAAGGAGAATAAAAGGAATAAAAACTGAATTTGAAACACAAAGAGCAGAGCAAACAGAAGTTATTGATGTAATAGCAGCCAGTTCTAGAACTCAGATAAATCAGCTAAAATCTCTGAGGCAGAAAATGGGTGAATTCTTTGACAAACTGGAACATGAAATGGAAGAAGAACAAAACCAGGAAAAGATATTTATAAATAATTTGAGAGAAAGTGTTGCTATTTATTCTGATGTCATCAATAATTTGGACTTACTCAGGGTCCAAACAGATCATGTTTCAAAATCACATGATCATGTGGCTATCTTTGCAGCAACATGCAAGTTAGAAAAAACATTGGAAGACTCTGCGACAGTGAAGGAGAGAATAGCCATCAAAGGAATGAAAATGCAGGCAAATAAAGCTGGACATAAGTTACTATTACTAGAAAGCATGTGTGACAAAATTATTAAAGAAATAAATGCAAGCACTTCTCCCAAGACTGGTGAGGATTCAGTTGGAAATGTAAAATATCAGGCATGCAAAGAGCAACACACCAACACTGGAGAAAAAATTACAACAGAAATAAAGGAAGAAGTTAAACAAACAAAAACAATTATTACAAAAAGTAAGTCAGAAGATCTGCCACAGGAAAAAACAAATCATTTGAAAGATGAAATTCCAAAACAGGGTTTGGAAAAATCTGTTCCAGCAAAGCAACAAAATCATCCTGATGCAATAGAGATATTTAAAAAATCAAAACAACAAAATCATCAAAATGAGTTAAATCAAGAATGTGTAAAGAAAGAACATCATCTGTCTGGAGATGTGAAGGCAATGAAAATAACAACAGTTATTCCTGGAAAACAGGACCTGATATTTGAAAATCTGAAATTTAAGAACTTCTCATATAAATACATAAACCCGGAAGGAAGTCAATATCTATGTGACATAACTGGTTCCATTTTTCTCCCAGATGATTCCCTTATTTTGTGTGACCATGGAAACTCAACTGTTTTGCTATATGACAAGGACTTTAACATGATAGATAAATGTAAAGTTAAAGTCAAGGTCTGGGATGTGGCACTTACAAATATAGATGAAATCATTGTAACTTTGAATTGTCTAAAGATGCTTGTATACATTAAAATTAAATCAGGGAAATTACAGCAACAAAAAAACAAGAGCCACCGCCGGGCGGGGGCAACGCTCGACTTTTTACTTTTTCTAAACGCAAACATAGAAAGGTTTGAACATATATTGATGTTTCCTTTTTATAAATTTAGTTGGTCTGTCTTGTCACATTAGTTTTGTTTATATATTTTGTATATATATGAATAGAAACATTAAGCATATTTCTAAAAATAGCAACAGTACACAATTTCTAAAAATAGCAACAATGACGCAATTTCTAAAAATAGCAACAATGACGCAATTTCTAAAAATAGAAAAAATGACGCAATTTCTAAAAATAGAAAAAAATGATGCAATTTCTAAAAATAGAAACAATGACGCAATTTCTAAAAATAGAAAAAAAAATGACGCAATTTCTAAAAATAGAAACAATGACGCAATTTCTAAAAATAGAAAAAAATGACGCAATCACTAAAAATAGCAACAATGACGCAATTTCTAAAAATAGAAAAAAATGGCGCAATTTCTAAAAATAGCAACAATGACGCAATTTCTAAAAATAGAAAAAATGACGCAATTTCTAAAAATAGAAAAAAAT